GCGTGGGGACGGGGGGGACAGGCAGCTCCCAGGACTGGCTTCCCTCCCTCCTCTCTTCTCCTCTCTTCTCTCCCTCCCTCCCTCCTCACTCCTGCAGCCTCCAGGTCCCTCCCCCTCCCGCCTGGTCCCCAGCCAGCTGGCCTGCCAGCTCCTGCAGCAGACTTAGTGCTGCACAGGGTGCTAGCTATGGAGCCCAGGAGAGGTAGCCAGAGAGGGTGGGGGTAGAACTGGGGGCCGCCAGGGTGCGGGTGTAGGAACCCAGCCGCTAGTGGGTTTTGGCTAGGATGGGTGGACAAACACGAATGCTTGGGTTCCTTCTAGCACCGCTCCCCTAAGAGCTCACACAGCCTTGGCAAAGTGAAGAGTTTGAAAAACCCGCAACTGAAGAAGAGGAACGAATTCGTCCGGTGGAGGCAGATTGGGATCTTAATGGAGAAAATGAGATAGTGGGGAATAGAAGGGAAAGGGGCTGTGAGCACTTGGGAGTGCAGCAGCAGTGATCTGGCGGTCCTCCCCTCCACCCCGTTAACACACTCACGAACACACACACACATCCAGCTGCAGCAGCCACATGGCACAGCAACGCCCTATTGCTTCCTAGAGTGTTGGGATTTGACATTCTCCTCAGTCCCCACGGTGGGATGCTGGATGCATCTCCCGGTGGTCCTGCACCTGCTGATCCCAGCTACTTTCCCCTAGAGCTCTATGGAAAAGAGAAAACCCCCACAGATAGACACCCACACCCACACACACTCCCACACTCACACACACACACACTCACACCCACACACACACACGCACACACACACACACACGCCTCAAGAAAGGAAAGACGGGAAATTCGCATTCGCCCTCTCAGCCAGTAACCTCCCTGTTTCTTTTCTAATCACTTCTTGTTTCCGTGGCAGAGGAGAACATCCCTCCAGCGAACACCCGGGAGGTTCACCCTCTAAATTCAGGCTTGGGGATGGGACAGGAGGATCCCGCCAAGAATCAGCTAGTCTTAGCATACAGAAAAATAGTCCAGATTTCTCTGTTTAGACCTTCCCCTATCTCCCACCCCACCCGTCTCACTTTAGGTCGCCCAGAGGGTTTCTTGCTTACAAAGCGCCCCTAGAGCAGTGTTGCCAACGGTCACGTAAAACCAATTTCTTGAGACCCCAGGACTTGCTTTCCTCAGCTAGGCTATCTTCTCTGTCTCTGGCCAAGGAAGAGATATAGATGGAGGAATCCGGTGACCCCCCCCCCACGGCCAGGCAATAGCTAAGAGGCCAGAGCTAGAAGCTAGAGCCTGTGAATCAGACCCAGTTGCTGAGTTCGAAGAACTCCTGAAAGAAGCCTCCTGTTCTTCAGACTTCCGGACCATAGCGGGGCTGTCTACCAAGACTCAGCCCGATGGGTTCGGGGCTTCGTGTAGGCTCCCAGATAAAAAGCTTTTCACCCAAATTCAAAGGCTTGTGAGTGCGTAGGGGTGTCTCCATGGGGTCTTCAGTACCTTGATGGAGAACCACACCAGAGCAGGAACGCTCTCCAAAATTCATTTTAGAATCCGAGTGTGTGTGTGTCCCCGACCCCCACCCCCGTGCTTAACAAGTGAGCGTGGCTGCGGGGTGAGTCACCACAAATGAGCGACAAGGATTCCCAGCAACTGGTAATTAATTGAGCAGTGGATCAACCCACCACGGAATCAGGCCTCCCGCAGCTCTGGCAGCAGTGGCACCCTGAGTCACCGCCGTCGGGCCTCCTAGAGGTTCGAAAGGGCTTGTGGATCTCGGTGCCACCAGGGGGCGCTGGACTCCGACCCACAGATCTGCCCACTTTGGAGCCAAACTGTAGTGAAGTCCAAGCTGTCCCCAAATGCGAGTGTAGGGTTGGGGGTGGGGGAATGGGCTGAGCTCCGAGGACCGGATTCCAGGAGACACTTGTATTCGGTTTAGGGAGCTTCAGTTACTTGCAGTCCTTAGGAAAAATGGAAGGGAACTTAAGCTTGAAATTACCCCAAACTCCTTGTTTTATAAGTAAAGAAAAGGGCTCCAGTCCAAGACCACCGGATTACTCTCATCTAGAACCAACTGTCCCCAGGGTTCTTTGCAGCTTTCCCTCCAGGACCCCAGTTATTTTGCAGTCCCCGCCCACACCCCACAACCCAGTCCTTGAATGTCTTTTGACTGCCTGTGGAACTGCAGCTCCTTGGAGGAGAGCTTGACTATTCTGCCTGTACCACCCATTCTCAAGAAAGATCCTCAGAATAGTGGAGACTGTGCCTGAACTGGCCTTCCCCTGTAATCAGATTGGTGGATACCCCAACTGTCATAGAGCCCTCATCCAGAAGCAGAGATCCACAGCCAAGCACCGGGCAGAGCTCTGGGAATCCAATTGAATAGAGGGAGGAGGGAATGTATGAGCAAGGAAGGTCAAAATCAGAACAGGGAAATCTACAGAGACAGCTGAACCAAGCTCATGGGAACTCATGAACTGTAGACAGACAGCTGTCTCCATGGGACAGAATTAGGCCCTCTGTATGTGGGAGCAGTTGAGAAGCTTGGGCTATCTGAGGGGGGCCCTGACAGATAGGACCAGGTTCTATGCCTGATGCTCGAGCCAGCTTTTTGGAACCTGTTCCCTATGGTGGAAAGCCATGTTCAGCCTTAATGCAGGGGGAGGGGCTTGGTCCTTCCTTAACTTAATGTGCCAGGCTTTGTCAACTTCCCATGGGGGGGCCTTACCATTTGGGAGGAATGGATGGGGAGTTGGGCTTGGAGGAGGTGGGTAGAGGGGCAAGAGAAGGGGTGGGGGAACTGTGGTTGGAATATAAAATGAAATTTAAAAAATAAATAAATGTTGAGAGAGAGAGAGAGAGAGAGAGAGAGAGAGAGAGAGAGAGGCTCAGCTACCACTACATCTTGTGCCCAAAGAGCACAAGAACGGTGACAATACCTGCCTCTCTGCCCAGGGGTGATTCTGAGAGTCCCAACTCCCAGGGTTGGGTGCTGAGCCCAGGGATTTTTTTTAATGCTAGAAAAATATCTTTAATGCTAGAAAATTGTCATTTGGATAATTGGCAATTAAGCTCAGAAATTCTTCCTGCCACTGTGTGTCATGGGCCCACCGCTCCACATTTGAGTCAGTGACAGCTCTCCTCCCTGGGTAGAGCTGCAGATTGATAGGTGTAACCCTGGGGCTTCTTGACTAGACTTGGGCATGACTAAGCAGTTCAGGGAAGAGCTGAGGCATAGAGGGAGGGAAAGGCTCTGAGGACATCAATACAGGGCACAGCTATGACTGGTGAGTGGGCACACAGAGAATCAGTCCCTAGACCTTGCACTTTGGTTCTTTCTTTAATAAAAGCAGATGCATCTTATTAGCTAATGAAACACGTGATTTTATAACTCAGCCATCTATTTGTTTGTTTTGTTCTGTTCTGTACACACAGTTGGCATGTCTGCAGTCCTTCTCCCAGCCCTTTCACAAACAGAGGCCAATGACTCGGCATATCCTAGCACCACAATGAGTAAGGAAGGGAGGATGAAACTCCCAAGCCAGTACTTCTTCACATCCCTACA